ACCTTTCTATTATATATATATATATATATATATATTTATCCTATGTTTGTGTTGCAGAAATACTAAATTGAATACGCGGTTGACAGATCCAAACTTATGTTCTTTTCTTATCGCCCCGTTTTTTAATTCGAAGTTAGATTTGTATTAGCTTTGTTCTTTACAAAGGCGAGTGGCTGGACAAAACAAATTACAGATTCCATTCCTAGGAGGATAAGAAATTAATTGTTTGCAAAATACACTTTTTACAGTAATTTCACTTTTTCCGACCTTCATTTTCCATACTATATTAATCAGTTCATCAAACCTTTTTGTTAATATTGTTCATGTTAATACATCGTTAGTAGCTGAAGCTTTGTGTTGCTAAGTTTATATCAAGTAAAATTCTATTAGAGTGTGTTTTTACACAACCTATAAAAGCTTCCTATCTGTCACATTACAAGAAGCAATTGTTGTAGTATATTTTCGTGTTAGCTTTATTCATAGAAGTGAAACAACATCTGACATGCAGACAGGTAAATATTGTTGAAGAGTTAACTTAATAGTGACCTCGTCAACAATTTACAGAATAATATTGAAGAGCGAATAGGCAAAGGGTTAATTCTCTGTGCTAAATATCTTATGAGTTTCCAATAGTCTCATTGTTCGTTTCATATATGTTGTGGTATCATGTAGAACTTCTAAAGTATGTGAGGATCCTGAATGTACCGCGCTTACAGTAGTTAGCGTCAGAAACTCTTATATTCAACACAAAAGAGCAATGGTCTGTTTAATAATAGTAAAATTTATAAATACAAAGACAGAATTAAATTATTTAACAAATCTTTTCTCGTTAATCAAAGGGTAGTACATATAGCGGCACTTTAACCGTTTTAGTAATACTAGTAACAAACGTTAATGAAGAAATAAAGACAATTATAATATAAAAGTACGTGTAGTAATCAAGTTATTTTCGTGGCTTTAGAGATCTCTAAGGCCTAGGCAAAGAAGAACCCAGCGTCGTCAGATGAGAAACGATTACTTTTCGCCGAAAATCACAGCAGCAAATAACGCACAGGTAGGAAACCATATATAGGACTTCTTATTGTTTTTTTCAAACTTTTACCTCTATACCATCTACTTTAAAAGATAAGCGAATATTTCATACTTCAATAATACCAGATGCTATACTTAGTGTTTCGCACCATTACTAATAATGGAGAGAACTTGTTATATCGTTATTTTAGTAACACTATAGAAGAACTTGGTATTTCGTACTTTTAGCAGTACTGGAGAGTATTTGATATTTTATTGTTTTTTGTAACACCAAACATTAGTTCACACTTCGTATATTTAAACTTGTTGAAGATTAGTTGTTGTTTTTTAAATATTATCGATAACGTGAGTATTTTTGGTGACTTAAGAATGTGCTTGACATACTTTGTGGTTTAATGATGTTGGAAGGTACTTAGTATTGCATAGTTTTGGAAGTAGCGCAGCTTACTTTGAATTTCCTACTTTTTTATTTCTGGGGAGTGTTTTGTGTTCAGTTCTTTTTGAAAATTATATGGCTGTATTATAAACTTCTACACAATATTTTGGGCTGTAATGTTGCGCATCTTATATTTTTTTTCCTGTCCACAACTAACGATCCTAAATCTTCTTTTAGGCATGTCTCACGGTATTGGCGGGATAGAAGATGTTTACTCAGTTGATCAGACGAGGTATTCTTAACACCAGAAACATGTTTACTGTTTTTCACTAAATACTAGCACTTAAGAAATATCTCGCATTGCTAACTGTTTATTTTGTAAACATTTCACTGTGGGTGCCTTATTAAAAATAAATTAACTGGTCAGGGTTTTGCTAATTTAACGTTTTCGTATGATTTCTAGTCCTAGTACAACTTCAACTGGAATGTGATATTATTTTATTCAGTTTACATCAGTATGCGTTAAGAAGACTAAGAAACTGCTGACAAAAACTAAATCTACAAACTGAGCGGCTAAAGAAACACACTACTAAAGCAACCGTTTATTCCATTATATGTATATAAAGGAGACAATGGGTGTTAATTAGGTAAAAAAATTGATTGTTCCTAAATATAATAAATAACTTAAGAAACTTTGTTAATCTAATTTCATAAAACACTTTTTTTTCTATCAAATTTTGTTTCCTTATCATTTTGTTCCTCGTTAGGTCAGCGGTAAATTAACGGACTTACAACGCTAAAATCCTGGGTTTGACTTTCTGTAGATAGCTCATGCAGTGTGAAGCTTTGCGCCTAAAACAAACAACAATGATTTAAAGTTCAGGATATTCAGTTCTTGGAAATGTTAAAGCCTGTGACACATTTAAATATTTATAACGTCATGTTAAATACATTTAACAAATGTTTACACAAATTGTTCAGAATATAGTGCAAGGAATAAGGCAATACCATAGGTAATATATATTTTTGCCCTTGGTTTTTTAAATAAAGTCAGTTTGTTTTAGTTCAAGCGACATAATGAGCTACCTGCACTCTGGCACTACGTGGACTCGAATTCCGGATTTTATCGTTGTAAGTTATAAACTTACTGCTGATTCACCGAGGGCTTTTAAATAAAAGCTCCAGAGTTTGTAGTTTCATGTCAGAAATAACAGACTTTCGGATTTAAAAGGTATTTTTTAAATAAATGTCGAGCGATTATGGATAGCCTTAACTTGTTACATTTTAAAATCAATTTAATAAATACATACTTACAGTAAATTATTTGAGCTTGATTTTGGCCTCGAATTTCCCCACAAATTCAAACATTTGAAGCAAAGTTCGTTTATTTATTTATTTTTAACTGGATATTTTTAACCATATTTTAGTGGTGTCGAACACTATTGACAGACATTTTTCTTAACAAGAGTAATGTTCGGGTCTTTACTTATCAGAACTTCACCAGAAATTAAAACAGGAGTGAAATTCAATTTTGATCTAATGTAACGTTGTGTGGAGTGATTGTAACATATGTAAATGTTTTTAGCGTTGTAAGTGCCATTGGGGGCTTATTGTTTTCACACATCTACTTATTAATTATAACATTTACAATAGAAGATATATATTTTCTTTCCAAATAGACCTGTAGCCACAGAATATTGGTAGTTGGGGAACAAGGGCTTAGCTCCTTCCAAAATCGCTGTTGGCTCTCTTTCTCCAAAAAACAACAACAACGAACAAACAAAAACTTTAAACAGAACTCACTAAGTAACGCTACTCTATAGAGCAATGCATTGTTAACAATATTATCAGTATTATCACATTTCTTATTAACGGTTTATACTATTAAGTTACACAAGAACAATGTTTTGGTGATTATATAAATTAACTTAACAATATTATTTTCTTAATTATTGTAAATTGTTGCGTTCACACAAAATTGTTCCTCAAAAGTAAATCTATACGTTCACTTATTAGTTACGTTAGCATAAAATAAATACTATTTTTATGGAATTCTATTTTCATAAGTGAACGGTGAATTGAGTCATGCTACTATGGTCCGTATTATGGTTTCTTATCCTTCTGTTATTAAGATAAACTCCTCCAATGAGAGAAAAGAAAGAAGGAAAAGAAAAATAATTTGGATACGGACATGATTTCAAATAATCAAACTTTACACATATGAGTTTCAATAATTCTTCCCAAATAAGCGTTTAAGCGAACTTACGATTTAATTTAAGAATTGTTCTAAAACCCACTCTAGCCAGTTTTTAATACTACTGGTGTGTAGTGACAAAACCGTCAAAAAATAATGATTTTCATGTATCGATCAAGATCAGCCTTGGACCCTTTAATATGTTGTGTGTAACCAGCCAAACAGTAATTACCAAAATAATTGTTTTAATATCTAAAATAAATATTTTGTTTTGTTTCTGTTAAAAAACCCTAAATTAAACTACCATGAAGAGATAGCTTGAATGCAATACATGTCTTTGTATAGTTTCTGGTAACTGTATTCACTACTAATGAAAGTACTTATTTTAATTAATAAGTAATTTCATTAGTAGTGAATATAGTTACAACTAATGGAATTACTCATTTCAATTAATGCCACATTCTAAGTACGGTGTTTATGTTTCTCATTCTGAGTATGGTGTTTATGTTTCTCATTTTGAGTATGGTGTTTATGTTTCTCATTCTGAATGCAAATGTTTTCTTGTGAACAGATGTATAAAATATCAGCAAAGAGCTTATGGAGTTATACACCTGATAAGCTCTCTCCTCTGAGTTCTTGAATGAAACTTGCCATCTTTCACGTATTTTGTTTTTTGTTTTGTTTTTTCGTATGAATACCTCCCTGCTTTTTCCTGAAACAAAAGTTTACGGACTTACAACGCTAAAATCAGGAGTTTGATTCTCCACAGTGTACACAGTGCAGATAGCCGATTGTATAGTTTCACACGAAGAAAACGGCAACAACAGTTATTTTACAACTTGTACTAAACGTTTCGTATGCGTTAATGTCTAGTCTTCAAAATAAACTCTGATCTGTGCAGAGACAAACAGGTAGCAATAAACATAATATTATAATTTTTGTATTCTGTTTAAAAAACATGACTTGCAATTAAAGAACATTTAAAGTTTATCTAAACTTTCCACAACTTTCAGTGTTTTCAGTAAAGAGTTAAATAATAATCCATTCTGAAAATTGTAATTATGACTGATGCTCGAATATCGAATCAATTAATTTTTATCAACAAAAATAAAAGCTATTAGGTATTTTCTTTAAACCAATTATTGCACAATGGTTACTTAGAAGATTATATCGTGCCTGGGATTCATTAGAAGCCAGTTTGTTAATTTAATACTAGAAAATATTAGAAAAAAATTATCGCTAAATAAAAAAGCTACTTAGAGCTAGCTACTGAACTTGAAAAAAAAAGGAACTAAAGAAGATAGATAAACAAGAACATATCACTTGATCCGGCTAATAATCACATAACAGGCTAATCCATCTCGACTTTACATGAAGAATAAAGTTCTTACATTACTGGCTTCCCCACTTTATCTATCGAAAGCTAGATGTTTGAGTGGAATATCATCTTTCATCATTATACCTTTTCTTCAGTTAACTTTAAAATACCACTTTTATGGCTATTTCACCGCAGAGTAACATTTTACGATTGGAAATTCTGGTTGTATTTGTTTTGCCGGTGAGGAAGCCAGTAATGTAAGGATTTTATTATTCATGTAAAGTCGAGACAGCTTAGCCTGCTATGTGACCATTAGCCGGATCAAGTGATGTGTCCACTTTCACCTCTATCTTGTTTGGTTCTTTTCTTCAAGTTCGTAGCCAGCCCTACATATTTTCTTTGTTTTGCGATAAATGTTTTTCCTGATACTTGTTTGTTTCATTTCTTTATAAGATGGCGTACGTCGGTTACTAAAATAAAGAGTGTATTCGAAAGGTTTGTAAATCTTTCATAGAATAATAATAAAACAGGTAGTCAAAGATCGTGAAGATTGTTTTGCTCTATCAAATGATGATAAAATTATAGTTACTGCTAAAACTAAGTAGGCGCTAGACCTGTTGAAGAAAGATGATGATGAACAAAAAATTAAAAAATCATGGTTTTTCTATCCCCCTGTTTTCGACTTTGAGAAGCACTGGATAGCTTAAAAGCGGCATCTGCACCAGAAATAGAGCGACTACCCCAGTTAGCTCTTCATATCTAGCTTCTGATTACCTGGATTGATGTTTTTTTTACTTCTTCACTTCATACATAATATAGGGGTTGGTTCCCTAAAGACACCAATTGTATAGTGTATAAAGCAATGAGTATTATGAATGTTACAGTCATCTAGTGTTCATCTATTATTGGCTGGTAATTCCTGTTTCACCCTGTAGTTGAGCTTTTCAAGGAATACTAGATTTTTTAAGAAAGCTAACTTCAAGGTGCAATAACATCGTTTACACTAGAATTATAATTTATTTTTTTGTATTTTGCATAAAATAATAATAAAACAGGTAGTCAAAGATCGTGAAGACTGTTTTGCTCTATCAAATGATGATAAAATTATGAATAATACTAGAACTAGAGAGGCTCTAGGCCTGTTGAAGAAAGATGAGAATGAACGAAACTAAGAAATCTCGGTTTTGGCTATCCGTCTGTTTTCGACTTTGGCATGTTCTGGATAGCTGAAAAGCGGCATATAAGTGGCATCTAGCTTCTGATGATCTGTAGAGAAGAAAATCCAGATAACTTACGTATTGCGTCTGTGGCTTCCAGTGGTGCGGGAACGCGTTGAAACGGCGTTCCCTTCCTTTTTTTTTTTGGCAGAATTTCCGTAACTTCACTATTTCTAGCAAATCCGACCTTACAAATCTCAAACTTCGTGAAGTGTTGCCCACCTTTAGAAGAATGGGTCATTAACCCTTTCATCCAGGTTGTAGGTAAGTTATCAAAGTATAATGAAATAAAATATTGCAAAATGCAAAATAAAATGTGTAGTTCTGTTAGTATTGATCACAAAGTTCCAAACAATTTATGGTCAGAGTTTATACTTCTCACCTTTTCACACTTATTTTCTGTAGTTATTACATTGTTAGCATCTGACTTAGAAACTTGACGAAACAAGATGTTTATTTGTTTGTTTGCTTGAAGTTAAGCACAAAGCTACACAAAGGGCTATCTGTGCTCTGCCCACCACGGGTATCGAAAACCGGTTTCTAGCGTACCGCTGTACCACTGGGGGCTTGTATAATGAAGATTTACCAACTTTTATAACCTGTTTGGCGTGGCATGGCCTGGTGGTTATGGCAATCGACTCGCAATCTGCGGGTTGCGGGCTCTAAACTCCGTCGCCGAACATGCTCGCCCTTT